GTATTAATGGCCATAGCAGTAAGAGTTGAAGATTCCGATGCCTTGCTGTTACAGAAGGAGGGGGAGGAGACTGATAAATATATCCTCCGTAAGACAGAGCACGGTAGGGCAAATCGGAAGTTGATCAATATCCGTCTTTGGGAGGTCGAAGCACGAGAACTCCACTGTCGACGGATTTGGACCTGTTTGAACCTGAGTCTAATGTGAATTGGACACCACGCACCTATCATGCGCTGTAACGTACTCGAATCACGACACGATGCTGATCCTCCGCGCTCAGCAAAGTCACATCTTCCTCTTGTACAGCAAGGTCATTCGGAGCAAACGATTGCCGCGAATCAAGCAGTGCGGCGACGTGGAAGCGAGCGCTAACGTTACTATTGTTGCAAGTCGCCGTCATCGCTGAAGGCAGAACAGAACACTGGAGTTCCTCCGGCAACACCTTGCTACAAATCTGTGACAAGTTGAGACTGAGACATTCATCGTTAAGTTGTTCAGGTCAGGACTTTTGCTCGATGTTCGGAACCTTTGTCGCTACCGCCTTGATGAACTACGTTCGTATCACATGCTAGCCAACGTTTTGGATTGCCCAACACCTAGGTTTGTAGTTCCGCATTGTCTAAAGGCCAGTCTTGTCGAATTTGGGAAACCGCCACTTCCTCAAACGCAATACCTCTCAACCTCTTCTTCACTTGTGAGTTGCCAGTCAGATTCACTTTGACGTACTCATACAGGCGAGGACTGACCGCCAGCTCGCTCCAGCTTCTCATCAGTCGACGCCAATAGCACGCCTCGGCTGCAAGGGTCAGGTATCGATCACGAAAAGTTGCGACCGCATTGTCCGCGATGCGCTGGGCCGCCTCCCTGTCTCCGAACAAGTGTATCTTTGTTTCGATGTCGGAGAAGTCTCGTCTCACAGATACAAAGTTCTGGTCGGGCCCATCAGGATTCAAGAGGTGATAGTAATGCGTCGTCCACTCGAGCTCATGGACAAAGGTCACGCTCCTGCAATTCAGCAGGTACTTCAAGCGTCCAGACCACGAGCGGCCTTCAGTGTGTACAAGAAAAGCGTAGGAGCAAAAGTCTTCTGTGGATATAAAACCCGAACGTGTCGACCAATCAAATTCAGCGACATCGGCCCAGGATTTGTCTCGCATCGGCCCAGGATTTGTCTCGCGTCGCTTCCACAAGATTACCTCTCACTTCAAGATTTGTCCAAGTGGCGCCTCGCCACACCAATTTCGGGATCTTTTCTTGGATGATCTCGTTCGCTTCTTTGCCGTGCAAGCGCATATCGGCGAAAGAACCCGCAACACCCTTCCAAGACCAGTAATTGAAGTCAGGTACCAGAAAAATGCCGTCGTGAGCAGGGTCGCCGGGCTTTCGAGAGAAAGCCCATAGCACGGACTTATCTTCATTCTGGCC